CGGCCCTTGTCAGGTGGTCGCGAATGTCGGTCACGGGCGCCGCAGGGCTGCTGGAGGGGAACAGCGTCTTGGCCAGGGCATTGCGACCGGGGGGCTCGTTGGCCTTGTACGCCTTGTTGGCCTTGACGAACATCTGGGCGGCGGCGGCGCGAGGCGCAGGGGCATGGGCAAGCTGCTGGGCTGCTCTCTGGAGGCTCCGCGGGCGAACGGCGACAGCGGGTTTCATATACTCGTACGGGGACGGTGATGGCCTCGAGAGGTGAGCAGGGCCGACCTTTTCTTAGTGCTGCCACCACGGATCAGGTGCGACGGGCGGCATCAGAAGGGGCAGGATTCGGTTGCTTTGATTTTGATTCTGATTGGAAGCCCAGAGAGTGCAGAGGTCGGGTGCTAATGCCGTGCTGCTGCAGCTGCTGCTAGTCGTGGGAATGATTTGTGAGGCGCGTCTCTGGCCAGGGCTCGTGCATCAATCAACGCGTGAGCTTTATCGCGTAGATTGTACAGTGAAATTGCCTTATCGGCAAAAAGTGCCTGGGCGATAGGTAAACAGGGCTGCTGCTTAGTCATCTGTGGCATCTCTCTTTGAATTGGCCGTCCAGGAAACTGTCGTTCATCTTATAGATATGGCACGACGGCACGTTGGGGACGCAAGTAGTATGATGAATAATAAATATTGCTGCTGAACCATGCTGAACTTTTTACCCAAAGGATGATGATGTTGGCTTGTGTGGTCACACAAGGTTGGGGCGACAAGGGTCTGCTATCAGCTAGCCAGGGCTCATGCAAGCAGACCACCCTCCACTTACACTTATACACACCTAGACACCTAACCTGCAGCGTTCAAGATGGGTTGCTCAATCAAGACGGCAAAGAACACAGCAGACGTTGATTTTTGAAATACTCAATCTGTCATAAAGAGCGTGACAATATAGTCACTTGTCGGAGTGGAAGATACTTTGAATTCAACTGCAGAAACTCCCACTCCAACAATTCAAATCACCAAACTCCTTATGTGTCGTGTACACAGACCATGTGTTCGAAATAAAGAATGAAGCAGTCGTAAAAGATTGAAAACATATAGCACGGTCAGTTGAAAAACATCTTACCATCTATATCCTGCCTCACTCGATACTCTTTCGCTGACCCTTTGAATACAACAAGGGACTCACCCTGCCCAGATCCCACGCATCTTGATCCGTCCGCCGCCTCTCAGCCATGTACCGCTGTGCATCTCGCCTCCTCCACGGCCCCCGAACCGGCCGGGGCATCGCCATCCCATCATCATTATCATCATCGTCGTCATCGCGATACCTCCTCGGAGCTTCTCTGTAATTGTAATGAATGTCCGGATCGCGTGCCTCCCCTGACCGGTTGCGAGGGCCATCAGCCAGCGATGTGCGACGGAATTCATCACCTAGTTGGTCCATGTCTTGATTGCTCACTGAATGGTATCGCGCCGTGTGATACATGGGATCCCTCTCCCTCTGACTCTCTGGCATCTTCTTCTGAAGGCCTCGAAATTGACGCGGTGCGCTTTCCTCACCCATCGACCTGGCTATCCTATCGCGGTACGTCTTCTTGTTCACGCGCTTTCGCATGTCTTCCTCTGATACTGCATTGATCGGATCGGGAGCAGCAGGGGGGATGTTGATGAATCTCCCTGCTGGATCATACGGCCTTTGTGGGCGGGCAACCTCCAGCACAACGGCCTCGTCTCCAGAACGGTGCTGACGATGGCTGCTTCGCCCCCTGGAGTCATCATGCTGCTGCTGCTGATGATGATGATGACTCTGTTGGTGGAGATGAGGCAGACTGTAGTTCTGCTCATAAGATGGGCTTGGAGTTCTTTTGGTGCCGGAATCCTCGGTAGACAATGAGCCGAAGGAGGTGACGGAGCTTCTGGAATTATAGGACCTTGCCGAGGCCTCGCGATCCAGTCTAGGTGCGTTTGATTGGATCCTGCGATTCTGGTCCTCGATTGCTTGTGATATGCTGCTCCGCGGGGGGATAGAAGTTGGTACTGCCGGCTGAGCCACCTTGATCGAATGCTGATTCCAGGGAAATTGGTACTTGACTTGAGGCTCGTATTCATAGTGTTGAGTCTGAATCTGCGAGGGACCAGCTTGAACATTGCGTGGCAGAGGAGCTTGGCCAGCAGTCTTTGGGGGAAGAGGATCATCATCGTAAGCCCCTCTTGCGCCCTGTCGTCTCTCTGCCAGCTGTGCCTCCAACATTCTCACACAATTCTCGTTTCGTCCTGGTTCTCTCCTGAAGTACGCCGTCACAGACACCCGCTCACTCTTCGCCTTGGACCTGGATGAACCCTTGGATTCATGCCGATTTTTGCTCCTCTTCTTATCCTTGCTTCGCCTGTCACGCCTTTCCTCACCACCCTCTATTTCGTCAACCTTGGACTTCCAATCCACCTGAGCGAGCGTATAGACAAACCGAGGATCAGATTCCGTCCTCTCGAGGTTCTTCCACGCATACTCCAACTGCCTCTGGATTGCAGACGGAAGATGCTTCTTTTTGTCTGCCACAGAGCCAGTCTCCTTGTCCAACTTGCGGACTTTGCGTTTTGCGTCATGCTGAGACACGTCCCTTCGTATTGAGTGTGAAGCTTTCTCCCAGGTTGGCGGTAAGGCGCGACCTTCGCTGTCTATGTCGTATGGGTCTGTTGCCTTTTCGATGCGGACGACGACGTAGGATGTGAGGCGATTGTAGGCTTCTTCCTCGTTGATGTCTTCGTCGCGGGTGTTCAAGATGTGGATGTTTCGTTGTGAGGGAAGTTCAGGAGGAGATTGATATAGGGGGCGAGGGCTGTGTGGTGGTGGTGCCATGGAGGTGGATGTGTGTGTATGTGAGTGATATCCTTGCTGAGGGGGCATGTAGGAGGGATTAGGTGTCATCGTGGCAGGGCCTGGATGATGCACTCGGGAAGAGTTTCTTTCTCCTCTCATTTGACGGGAGGAAGGCTGAGGAGCGGACGATTGATCGGCTTTCAGGCGACTTTCAAATCCGGGTAGGCGATTACCCATGAGCTCCCTCATCTCTGGGGGTATATGCTTGGCAACCATGTTGAGGGAATGAGTCTGATGTGAATGAACTTGGTGATGTGTTGGGGCTTGATGATGAATCGAAATTGGAGAGAGATGCTGGAGATGAACCCGGATATTTATACCCCGAGCCACCTCTTTGTCTGCATGTAATTGCCATTAAAATTCACCCATAACCCTTGGGATATCAACCACTGGACTCGAGAACTGGCGGACCGAGTGAGTATACGTGTAACCAGAAACAATAGATTGTGGTGTGCAGCTTTCTCTACAGCCGATTGAGCGAGCGAAATATTGACGCTTGCACATATCTACTTCTACCACCTGATCAACGCACGTATAAGGTTCGGTGATTTTCCTTCTGGACGCAACATGTACCTGGCTGTGAAGTTTGATCTCTCAGGCGGGGAAAAGTCGTGCATCTGTACCTCCAGGGGGGGACTGTTTCGATCTGATCTATACATTATCACACCTACATCATATCCGCCAGAATAAGTCTTGATATGTACACCACCTCAGATGCACAATCTATGGCTAGGTCTGCCTGCCCAGCTCTTCAAGCCATCAAATATTCCCCATATGCACTCAAAGCACGCCTCACGTCACACAAAACCCATACCGCCTCACATCATCCGCACAATGTTATCATCGAACAGCAACACATGCAGCAAAAATCCCCCGCATCACCAGTCCTGCGCGTGAATTCTCCTTTCCTCCGGACCTTGTCGCCTTACAATCCATCTCCAGCCTATCAAGGGCAGCCACATATGACAGCCCTGAAAATCAGCCCCTGAGAGGCAACCGGTTGCCTCGCCGTTCTCAACTCCTTAGGAAACGCCATGCATAGTTGATCTTCTGCCTGATGGATTGTGCGCGTACAGTGTGTTGCTCTGATGCTGTACATCGGAGGATTGCTTGCTTTGCCTTTGTTTGGGGGCCAAGTGTAAGCCTCACTTTTATTCAGACGCGGTGGAACTCCTGAGAAGCGACCCTGATGTTGAAGTTGCTTTAACCCCTGATTCTTGTGAAAATCTCCGTGAGATTTAGAGCGGTCACGATGTTGTTTCAAGACACACAGCCCGATCCGTCACCGTGTTTACATCAACGAGTTCCGAGGCAAGGAATGGCACATGTGAGTCCTTCGTAGATCAATCAACAGACTCTCGTGTCACGTCTCATTGGAAACCATCCAACAACAGGGCACCAATAGGAACATTCCCTGCCCTTGGCAAGACCCCACGTCCAGCCTCATCTTGCAAGAGGAAGGATGAGGAGGGGATGCTCCAGCTCAAACTCGACATTCTGGCTTTTCTTTTGACGTGGCCATCTGTGGATGGTGCAACAGAAACGAGGCAACCACAACAATCAGCAAAAGAAGGCATTGCTTCCGTCTGGCCGCGCGCCTCCTTCTAGGCAACCTTGTCCCAGCAATATTGGCGATAGTATATGTGTCCTATCGGGCCAAGATCAACTCGAGAAGGGGGGGCTCTTCCGAACCGCCAATGGCTGCGAGAGAGCCTTCGCCTTGTACTGCGGCTCGCCTTTGTATCAGTGTCGTGCCAATGTGGGATGCCGCGCAGTGAGCCTCAGTTGGACGTGTGCTTGCTCCTTCGAATCACCAACCAGTTGCGCCATCCTCTTCGCGCAGTCTGTCTCCCCAGCCGCCTCACGTTAATCTCCTGCAATTATCATGATCCTGTTTCCAAGACAGATCGGACTAAAGGAGCATGTGTGTCAAGGCGTAACACGGAAGCAGTACAGCCGCTTGGCGCGGTTACCGTGAGATTCATGTGCCTAAACAATTTGAGTTCTGCCCGCTAAATCCATGTTCTCAAACAACTCTACCGTTTCCCAGGTCGTCTCTGGTCCGCCGCTCTTTCTGGGAATGCCAGGCGCAAAATAATGCAATGAAATCTCCTCTGAAGACATCCAATCATGATCCCTTTATGCCAAGTAGGTGTATGAGTTCTCTTCTCTCTCCAGGTAATCTTTCTCAATCAGGCTGTGAGGTGGGGGTCAGCAAATCTGCCTGTCACTTGGGTTACGAGTCCGTAGACTTACCTCTCAATCTCCTTCTTGATGGCGGCTGGCTCGACACTGCCTCTCTTCTTGGTCAAGTTGATTACTTCAGCCACCAGCTCTGCGTGGCCCATTGTCTTACGGCTCTTCATGATTCGCACAATGGCTGCCTGCGTCTCGAACCGCCTGTCCTGGGCAATCTTTTCGTGCGTAGCCTTGTTCTCTTCCTTCGTCTCCTTCAATTGGATCTGGTTGATCTTAACACGGTATTTGGGATCGGTAAAGGCTTTGTTAAAGGTGAACGTGTCCTTGGGGTCGACGTCACGCCCCTTGGGGTGTTTCGTCAGCACCCGCGCCTTGCCACAGGCCAACGACTGAAGGGTTCGATCCAAGTCACCTCCCTGGAGGCCCGTAGCCGCCGAGATTTGCTCATATGACAGGAATCCATCCGCAGGCACATCGTTGAAGAGCAAGAGCACGGCTGCCTGGAACGCCGACACGAGGAGCTCCTTTGCTCCCTTGGGAAAGGTTGCCTTGATGGAACAGTGCGCCAGCGAGTGCTTCCATGTCAAGACTCGGCCCGTGTGCTTGCTCTTGTAATGCCTATCAAACTGCTCGATGCGGGTGGCCACGTCATCAGGCAGATTAAGCCTCACGTCGGGATACGTAGGCCAGGCGGCAGCAGAGAGGATCATGACCTGCAAATCCACCTTTCCAACACGGTCGGGGTGGCCCTGACACCACTCCTTGTAGGCCTCCATCTCGTCCTTGGCGAGCTCTTGATCTTTAAACATTTGCTCTAGATTGTGTGTAAAGTTTGAGCCGCACTCGCCCCTCAGCTTGGTGAGCATGTTGCGTTCCGCATCCTGACTGGCACTGCGGCCCATGAGAAGGCGGCGAGCCAAGTCTTTCTTGTAAAAGGCCTCAAAGGCGTCCTTGCCCTCGATGAAGCGGAACAGCTCGAGAGCCTGGTCTAGTTGCCTGTCCAGCTCGGCGTCTTCGTCTGCGGTGCTGGCATGGCCGGCCTTTTCTGCCGCAGCCCGGTCCTTAACGTCGGAGAGCAGCTCCTTGGGCAGGGCTCTGATGCCGCCACGCAGTAGCATGTCAATATGTTTGGCTGTCATCTCGCCGATCTTGGATGTGCCCGATGGCCAGCACTCGGCTATCTTGCGGTCGTTCATAAACTTGCCAAAGGCCTCTCGCATGCCCCAGAGGAAGTCCTCGTCCTTGTTGAACGCGTCGCGCACCGTCAAGTCCAGCACACGGCGCAGATCCAAGAGGCGAATAACCATCTCGTCTCCCCGCTCCTTGTCGGACACGATTGAGGCCCCTGTCTCTCGGATGTAGTCGGTCCACGGTGTCTTCAACTTCTTCTGTATGCCCGACAGCCTAAGAAGGTCATACAACCCCTTGAGAGACTTGATGTCTCGATCAGACAACAGCTTGGACAGGCTGCCCCCATGAAGAAGCTTGTCAGCATACTGGTCGATCAGGATGTTGTGCGCCAACGTCATCGATTGCCTCTCCGTTGTGCTGTCCAAGTTGTACGCTATGCAACGGTAGTCCTCGCGTTCCAGCAGACGCTCGCAGACCTCGATATACTCTTTCAATCCCATGGGACTGCAAGTCTCTCCAAACTCCTTGAAGTAGGCCTCGGAGTGCTGCAAATAGACGGGCTCGAACTGCTTTGTGTACACTCCTAGCACGTATAGCATCATGAGAGAGTCTTTGAGCAGTTCTGCGTCCATCCGGTGGTCCCCTCGGCGATCCATGTTGATCAGCTCGCAGATCGCTAGAATGGACGCAGTTCCAATAGCTGGGCCTGACTCTGTCGCTTGCGATGGAAAAGCCATCCTGCAGAAGCGCGTGATAGCCAGGTCGTTTATAGATGGCAACGACTTGAGAAGCAGATATGTGCGATCAAGGTAGCTGAAGGTTGACCTGATGAGGATCTGACATTGAGTAAGCTCCTATGCTGCGACATTCCATAAATAAGAAATTGAAGCATACCGTCTGTGAGTTCCACGTCTTCCATTCCGCCAACGTCCTTCTTAAAACCTCGAGATTGGACACCTTGGCCGCGTCCTGAATCCTGGGCAGGACGACGCCTCTCAGATGCCTGTCGACCTTATCCTTGAGCATCCGATAGACCTTGTCAGCGCTGCCATTGCGGCACATGTCCTCGACCCCGCGATACAGGCGTTCCAGCGGAATGGCCGGGCTCTGGCCGGCAAAAATTGCGTCCAGGGCCGCGTCGAGCTCCCTCTCGGTGCGAGCATAGTACTCCTGGATCCGGGCCTCTTGGCTGACGGGGCTGCGCAAGTTCTTGATGACCAGCTTCCGCGCTCCACTGTGAGGCTGGAAGGCCGACTGGCGCTTCGTCAGGTCGATGACCTCGGGCATCTTGCCCCTCGCTTTGGCGCTGGCCATGGTCGAGCTGTCGGAGAACCGGGGCCGCTTGGCTGCGGACGGCGAGGACGGCGAGGACGACGACGAGAGGCGTGGACGGCGGCGTGAGGGGGAGACGGGATCGACTGTCGCTGGTTGCATGAAAGTGGATGGGCAGAGGCAACTCGGCGCGCGAGGGTCTTGAGTCGTGAATCGTGAGGCGTTAGGCGTGAGGCGTGAGCCGCGAGAGACGGAGGGAGACGAGACGGGCTCGCGGTCGGTGGGCTCGGGAGGAGGAAAGACGAAAGACGGAAGACGGGCTGGTCGGAGGTTTCGCTTCTGACCCTTGCTGGCAGATGGTTCCCGCTTTGGCAGCCGGGGAGGATCGAGTAATCGGGTGGGACTTCTGGGTTGACTTGGGTCGGTCGAGGTTTGGGAGCTTGGAGGTTTATTATGTCATGATGGATGGACGGACAAGTTTAGGCGGGACCCCCGCGATATGGAACCTGATGGGACCCGACTGCAGGCTCCAGCGTTTGCCGAGAGTTGCAGGGGCCTGTTTAGCGGGCGTGGGTGCCTGTAGCCCGCTGTAAAAGAGGCACGGCACCTCACTCCCCTCAACAACTCCCGATATGGATGAGGTACCTACCAGGACATGAACTTCGACACTCGTCGTCGATTGTCTTCCTTCACCTCTTCTACCTCTTTCATCATGGCATTCGGCTGTCAGGACTTTGCCTAGAATCATCTCCACCGCCAAAAGAAATTCCATCTTCACTTGATGAGTCTAACGCAAGTGAGCAGCGTGCACGAGGCCATTACACAACCAGCCCTTCCTTGACAATAACAAGGAAGGTACATGTATGTGTAAACCACGAGATGTTGCCGAAGCACCTCTTGAGCAACAGACAACAACAAGATACTTGAATCTACATGTACATTCGTCCCGCTCGCTCAAGGACGCGTGCAGTATCAGCATCATCAACTCTGAAAAGTGCCATTCCTTCATGCAGCTCTTACCGTGCCCCATGGCCAAGCAACGCTCCTGAGCATGTGAAGTAGAGGCATAGGAAACAGCCTCACCCTACCGTATCAACACAAGCCATTCCTCTCAGTCCAATACTGCAGAGCTCTCCCTCAAGAACAAGGTTCATCCTGTTCATCGCCTTTCCACCATCTGGCGTAACGAGATATGCCCTTGCCCCTACACATAGCCAGCCTTATACAGCGCTGTGAGGCCACACCGTTGGAGGTGATCCGTGGCTTCAAGCGATTTCAATGGCTTCTGCAGCAGAATGGTCTTGCCTCACGAACCCTGTGCCGTTTCTCATCCTAAGTACCTCTTACACCTCTCACCAGACCTCAACCAGGTGGGTGATTGAGAAAAACAGCCACTGTCGAATCACCAGAGGCCGTTGAAGCGCCACCATGATAACGCCGTACAAGGGTGTGGCTGCCTTCCAGACCCCTCAAAGTCGAGTCATTGTTTGCGAATCATATGTGAAGCTCATCCCCCCGCATCTTATGCTGGTCTTTTTGAAGGAGAGGCCCATCCAACCTCGAACTCGTACTCCAACCTCCAACCTCCAACCTCCAACCTCCAACCTCCATTCTCATACTCGAAACCATGTCGTTGCCCAGCCTGCCTGCAGAAGTCAGGCACATGATACTCGAAGCTCTGGTCAAAGATGGCCGTGAGCTGGCGAGCTTTGCTGTAGTGTGTCGAGAGTGGCAGGCAGTCATCGAACGACAGACGTTCAAACGGATCAGAGTCACTCCGTCACGCATTGCCCAGCTAAATGACATGACCCGGCGCAACCGATCGCATGTGCGGTACCTGTGGCTCTGCGCGGAATTGGAACGCTATGGTTGCGACAGCTGTTCACCCACTGGTGAAAACAATGACGCTCCAATGTTCAACAGCGCCGCAGACGATCTCCTCATCAAGACGGCCGTCCAGTCTCTTTTCTCCGTCCTTAGCACCTGGGATTCAAGCAGCTCTTTGACACTCGATATCAGTGTCTATTCGACCAGTGATCGAGAGCACTGGTTCAATTATCTGACCTTTGAACCAGACGACGGTGAAGATGATGCTCCATCGAAGCGAGGCTATTCTCATGTTTCACGGCCCAACCAGACGGTCCCTTGCGAGAATGGGGATGAACGGCACCGTTGGGAAATCACTAATGAGAGCCTTTTCAAGGCTCAGGCTGCAGTCCAAACCGTCTTCACCCGAATCTTGGACGAAGAGCCAGACGATTCCGACGATGAGGAGATGGATGGCCTTGACTGGTGGAGAGAGTTACCACTGGTGCCGGCCATCACGCGTCTGCTCCTGCGTCAAGAAACCCGCCGGCGCTGGGCGCCCGAAGATCTGGCTGAGCTGCTCGCCCGCTTTCCAAGATTGTGTGAGCTGCACTTTGAACCATGGAGGGAGTGGGATGACATGCTCCAGACTTACAGAGATGAAGGTGAGACGGCATTCCCCCTTAGGCGTACTGCTCAAACAGCATACATGATCATCTCAGTGATTTACATTCACTAACACGTTGGGTTCTCTTTGATAGGATACATGACGCTCCTCGAGTCTCCTAGCATTCGAAGGCTGAATAGACTCAGCCTGTTCGAGAATTTCAACCAGCACTACCCGGATGCTTACTGGCGACTGGACTGCTCACTCATTCGTCCCCCAAACCCTGACCTTGGTCGAATCCTCTCTGAAGTTGGTGGCAATCTTGAATCTCTCTCAGCATCCTTCATGGTGGACGCAGATGACTTCTTTGCCTTGGACGAGGGTCACCCTCGGAAAAGGTGGCCCAATTTGAGACGTCTGATCCTAACTTCACAGCTGTTGGCGCCTGATGAAGATGAGATGCGACTTACGGACATGCTTCGAGCAGCAGCAAGAGCGGCTGCTCATATGCCAAAGCTTGAGACGTTGCAGATATGGACTGGGCGAAAGGGCCTTGCCGCGCTCTTCAAGTATGAGGCTGCTACAGAACAAGGCCAGGCTTCTACCATTACCTGGAAGGGTACCTGGGTGTCTCTTTTACATGATTCCGTCATTCAAGCTTGGCAATCTGTGGCGGCTGAGCGCTCACAACTTGGACTGAGAGTGGTTTATGAAAGTATTGGCGTTGACGAGGTTCGATCTCATGGCGATGCGATGCTTCTCCTGGAGCTTCCAGAGGTGGTCATAAGACGCGTTTCGCTACGGCAAATTTTGAATGAACAGATGCATCTACCACTCAAGGTTCGTTCATCCCATGAGCCGAGCTGGTTTCTGTGTACTCACCATGTATAGCCACCACGCCTAAGTCCTTGGATGATAGAGCCCTTCCATCTCCCGGTTGCCCCGGGCTTTCCATCTACCTAGTCAGGCATTTTGGTGCGGCAAGGTCGCGAGGACAAGTTCACCGTATAGACCCAGATTTAGCGTGTCAAGAACAAGATGCAATACATCTTATAAGTGGCTGCCCAGCACCCAGCAAGTTGATCTCCTTGAGAGTGCTACTGCTATGCTATGACTTGGAGGGAGGCTCACCTCTCTGCTCCCCTCGCCGTCTTTTCTGGCCTCGGCATCCGTTTCTGTGTATGTCAATCAATATAGAGTAGAAGGCTTGACTTGAACTACCTACCTGGATTATCACAACATACCTGGACTATTGTAACAGACCTAGAGTACGAGGACAATAAGAGAAGCAGTAGTAAGACTAGACATATACCGCGATAGTAGCAGATACTTGATTCATTATATGTAGGAGTTTATGATAGCTAGACTAGATATATACTGCGATAGTAAGCGAAAGTATCAATCACTTCTATCATCTATGTAGTTATAAGCATCAGCTGTGGTAGGGGTAGATGGATGTATAAGGACGCGTGATCGCCAAGTTGGGGTGCTGTCTAGTTTCTCCCTACCATATATACTAGGTATCCATGCATGTGGTCAGTCGTATGTGACGGGTGTTGACTCGCCTACAGCCATATAGGTCGTACCAAGGAATATACATCATGCTCTTCATGCATATGCCGCCCATCCTATAAAGAAGACAGAGTCGGTCAGTATCTTTCTCAAACAATCCATGTACAGCCTAGAGCCAAAAAAAGAAGAAGAAACAAAAAACTTGACTCACCAGAATACAACACGGCAAGATTCCGCTCATCCGTAGCCTGATTGATCAAGTCATTCACCGTCGCCGTCACGCTCAACGTCTTGGACAGCTTCTTCCTCACAACCTCGAGCGCGCGATCTCCCTCTGACGGCTCATTCAGGTGGCTGCCCGCCTTCTTGCCCTTCTTGTTGGTGGCCACGTCGGCCTGGTCTGCGTCGTCAATGGCGGCGCCGCCGTCGTCTTGTCGCGCCTTTTGGAGCTTGGCCAGGCGGACGGGGGAGACGGACCAGCTGTAGAGGGGATCGTAGCGCAAGACGTCCAGGATGGTCATGATGGAGTACTGTTCCTCGCGGAGGGCGTCGAGCGTCATTTCGCAGCAGCGGCGGAACACGCCCTCCGTCTTGGTGATGCCCATGCCGTCGACAATGTCTCTGGTCAGGCGGAAGGGTACAAGTTCCGGCACCGGCAGGATCCTGCCCGTCTCAAAGGCGATGCCCAGATCGATGTGCACCACCTCTCCCGTCTTGGTGTCCAGCAGGATGTTGTGGCCGTGGCGGTCGCCCAGGCCCAGGACGTGGCCGAGCATCGATATGGCGGCCGTGCTTCGCGTGTATGCGAGCCGCTTCACGAACCACTCGTCAGGGTCGACAAAGTACTCCATGAAAAAGTACCGCATGACGGGCTGGAACTTCTCCGTGACTTTCCGGTATGTGCTGATGCGCTGGTCCACCGGTCTGTTCTGCACGCTGAAAATCTCCTTTCGGCACTGCGTTCCCTTAAGATCGCGGGGGTGGTACCGTTCGTGTGCTGGCATGAGAAAATCATGCAGAGGGATCGTGTCGCGGACGAACTCGATGAGTCCGGACGAGGCCGTCAGGGGGAGTACCTTGTATGTTCGAATGCCCAAGTTTCTCTGCCTCGTAGCCCTGTGAAGCTTCAGAAGGGAGGAAACCGCTGCAAAGACTTGCTCCATGATGGCGTCTTGACGCAGGTCGTCTGAACCACCCTTGACCAGCTGTTTGTACTTTGCGCCATCCGTGCCAATGGCGGTGATGATCTTGGGCGCGCTCACGCCTGAGGCAATACTCATGGTCGGTTCGAGCCTCGAGATCAAGGGCACGTCGGAGTAGTCCTTGTTGGCGTTGACTTCGATATGCATCGTCGGGGGAGGAATGCGGAACTTGGCAAGGTAGCTCATCAGGTTCCTGGCCGCCGGGGAGTCTTTCAGCGCAATCTTTGCACCTGATTTGTACTTGGCCTGGTCCCTTTCCAGAGCAAGGACATGATAGTGCTTGCTCGTCCTCTCGATGGCGAGCCAGATGTCGGCAACAGCGTCAGTGCTCGCAAGCTTCTGTGCAATCTTATCGTTGGCCCGGACTCGAAGGACGGCAACCTCGTCCTTTTGCTGCACTCTAGCTTTGGTGCCGGACCAGATGTGATACATGCCGTGGTAGGGATGATCGACGCAGATGTTGTACACCAGATTCGAGAGCAGCTCCTGGAACGGCGTGTCCTGGTTTTGCAGTCGCGAGGTCAGCTGGCTCATGAGGCCTGCAAACTTGGCCGTGGGCACTTTCGAGAGATGTCGCGTCACTGCATTGTTCGTCGCGTCGTCGTCCGATCTCTCGAGCCACAGTGCTGTGAATCGCAAGGCGTCGTTATCATGCTCGTCTGAAGACGCCAGGGAGAGCAAGTAGTTTTCGAGACTCAGGCGGACGAACTCGCTGCGAGTCGTTTCGACACGGCGTAGCTCTTGCTCATCGAGATCAAGCCACTGCTTCTCCTTCGCGAGGACGTGCGAGTATTTGGCCTTGAGCTGCGAGTCTCTGGTAGATGCGATGAGCGACTTGAGCTCCTCGACCTCATCATTCTTGCCCTTCTTCAAGCTTTGCAAACGCTTGAGATCCTCCAAACTGTCTGGATCTTGGAGCTGCTCGTCACAGAAGACGGCAAACTGATGGAATACCAAGCCTGCCTCTTTTGCCTCGACGCCGCCTCTGAGTTCTTTCAGCGCCGGCTCTAGATACTTCTTCTGTATGTCTCGAGGCTTCTCCAAACGCGCGACAGACATCCTGTGGCCAATCTTTGAGAGCAAGTCAGACCGGCTCACCGGAATAGTCTGTCGCTTGAGAGCCGCGACGTTGTCAATGCCCTGAAGCATCTTGATCGATGAGCTCATCTCTCCGTGATCCCACAACGAGTTTGCGACCTCAATCTTGATGGCGACATCGACATGGACGCCCAAGTCTTCGCATGGCTTGATGAGGTCACTCAGGGCCGTCGAAATGTTTAATGATTCCTGCGTAGCCTGGTGATAACGATAAATGCTAGATGCCAAAAGCATCGACTTGATCTCCATCTGCCGTATCCCCGCCACAGATAGGGGGCCATTTGCAAGAAGCGATGCATGTTGGGTGAACATGCTCATTGTTGTGCCACGGCACGACAGAATCTGGCTGACGTCGTCATATCTATACGTAGTTTAGCAACGGCATCCTCGATTGCCTTCTGGCAGATCTACACTTACAGTCCACTCTTCATCCATTGACTGCGTTCCTGGAACCGGCTCATCAGGCCTTCCAATTCCGCTGCGTCCGCAATGTTCAGGATCTCATCGAGCTCAGAGAGCGCCGCCAAAGCTCCCAATCGGCTTCTTAGGGCCGTTGCATTGCGGTTGTTGCCGACCAAGTTCTTCATCGTGCGAGCAAAGCCATCGTATATAGCTGTCCTGATGGCTGCGACATTGGTAGCCTGATGCAGTGTCTGATACGCTTTGTATGTCACGACAGCAAAATGATCGCTTGTGGCTGGCACAGGAAGGTTCCAAATCTCGAGTCTCCTGGCTGTGTGAAACGTGCTTTCGATGGAAGACGGGGTCGAGCCCATGTTCTGTTGCGTCTGCATCAGAGAATGTGACAGCCCGGCGAACCCAAGAGCGCCGAGGGCCTTCACCAAAGCATGGGCGTCTGAGTCTGATGAATTCTGCCGTAGCCGGATGTGGCTGTCGTATTGAGCGCCTCGAAATGCGAGATTCTTCGCCCCTTCCTGTTCGTATTCCAAACGAGACAGGATATTCGAGAGGTTTGCCTCCTCGGGTAAGCCATAGTACGCGTCTGGGTCGTCGATATTCTCAAAGATGGCCAATAGTGTTTCGTTCAGGTCTGCCTCTTTGGCTACGGACGATCTGCGAGATGTGCGGGTTGCCTCGGAAGCTGCAATCTCAGCGAAGAGCAAAGCCGTCTTGTGCATGCCACAATGAGTTGCGGATGACGCGGCCATGGTGTAGTCGATATCCAGCCAATGCAGTCGATCTACGATGGACGTCTCTTTGGGATACTCTTGGGTTCTGAGGTAAAGGACCGTATTGATCAGGAGTTTGATGTTGTCCTTGGCCGCTGGGTCAGTCCATGCGAGCCACCCCTTGATAGCCCCAGACAAGGACTTCTTGATAACCTGCTGCTGCTCCAACTGGAAGTAGAGCACCAGGTGGACGATCAGAGGAAAGGCCCTCTCAGCAAAGCCCTTGACTCGAAGAAGCACTGGCGAAAGGACAGAAAGGAGGATCGAGTGTGGCACCGACTGAGCAAGGAATGCGCTGAGCCGAGGCAGCCAACTCTGTGAGGCGACGTCTTCGGCCCACGAGAACTGTTCGTCTTCCGGCAGCTCAGTAGGTGCGACTTCTGAAGGCGGAGTGCGATAGGAGCCCCATTGAGATGCATTGAAGAGCGACTCGGACAGGCTTTGCTGGCCGGCCGTGACAAGTGGCCCGTCATCTTCAACCACAGCCTGCGATATTGCGCTTCGCAACGCGGCTTCAGCCAACCCAGCTGTGACCGAGTTTGGATTCATCGTAAGGTCCTGAAGGAGATTGAGGAGTCCCATTTCGGACCCATGTGGCCCTGGCGCAATCTTTTCGTATTGATCGAGACGCGACTCTCGCATGATATCTTCGGGAATGGTACCAGAGGCCAGAAATGAACGGCCGACAACTCGTCCTGCCCACGCCAGATAATTGTCACTGAGGCTTTGAGCTCCGCAGCTCTTCCATACCGCCGAAACATGCGCGATGGCATGCTCATCACTGTCCACCACATCGTTTCTGCTGTGTGTCGGAATCGTGAAATCGCCGCAGAGAAGGCCGAGGGCAAGTTGGCGCGAAGACTCGTTGAGCAGCTGCCTTACTGCTATTTCGTCGTTTAGGATATCGAGAAGCAGCTTACTTTCCGAGGTATCCTTCTCCGCATTGCCGGAAGACCGTATATGAGCTGCCGATGTAGTGATGGATTTGAATAAGTCATTCTGCTGCTGGCTTTCAAACCTGGGGGAGGTGTAATCTGAGAGATACTGGCTGAACCACTCGTGAAACTTTTGTGCCTTGCTCATGGTGGCCTTGAACTGGCTTTCTTGAGTGGTGCTCGACTGGCTGGACTCAAGGAAGACCCTCAATGACGCCAGTGCCGACAGAGAGTAGCCGGCCAGAAATGACGGGGCCTGAACCAGGTATGCTTTTCCTCGAGATAGCAGGTACTGGCTCAGCCCGAGCGCATCGTCAGCGCATTCAGAGTCCACAAGGAAGCCCCGAATGGAGCTCAATAACATTTCCAAACAGTATGATTCCAAGGCAACTTGTCCGGCAAGGCAGACCAGAATCCTCACTCTGCGAAGGATAGAACATGCGTGCAGAGAGCCGAGGGCCGGATGTACCGTGTTGAGCAGCTTTCGGGCAATGGCAACGACTACCGCTGGAGTCCAAAGTTCGTGAAACTGGAACTCCGTGGCCTGGCAGAGGTGTATGAGTTCTTTCAAGACATTCTTTGCTTTGAAGCAGGGTTGCTGATTGACCGGAAGTGTAACTGGTGAGTGCGCAATAGCCTTGATCGATTGGAGATTTTCGCCTGCGTACTTCAATTGCGCGTTTTTCAAGAAGATGTTCTCGATCAAGTCTTCTTGATCGATCAGATCGAAGAATAAAGCGACAATATCGACAAAGTGAATGTATAGGGACTCGGAATATAACTTGGAGCCCAGCTTGCTTCTGATGCGATCTTCGCCCTTTGTCCTTTCCGGGCCCCCCATTGAGGCAGCATATAGCAAAGTATATGACAGTGTAGTTGAAAAGTTTTGCTGGATCAGCTCAGGCTCTGAGATGCCAACCAGTCGAGCTATGTCTGCACTCGCAGAGTCCTGGCCTCGCATTGTCGTTAGGGCGATGGCATCGGCCTGTGCAGCTTTCAGCAGATCCCCAAGGCGGGCGTATCCGAAGATGGCATACGGAATGTCTTCCACCGTCTCGCTGTCCAGCCAGGTGTATAGGATCTGGCGAGAGAACAACCGAAAGATCTCTGCTGGAGACTTGAAATTGAGAACAACAGCAATGTCCGCTAAGCACCTTTTTGCGTAGTCAGTTGCCTCAGGAAAATTGCCCGGGATCTCGAAAATGTGGTAGGTGCACCTCCTCAGGAGAGTAGGCCAGCTACAGGCGATCTTTGACAGCACCAGCAAGCGAAAGGCAATGCGCGCTTGGGTGAATGGAGCGTTCGGGAGGGTGTCCAGGATATCCACGAACACATCATCGTGCAGCATCAGGATGAAGAGCTCGAATATATCAGCCAATCTCTCCGCAATGAAGCATTTGACCTTCATTGGCGCCTCCTTGAGGATGAGGAGCAGCGAGGTTCGACATGAGTCAAGTCCCAGATCCGTTCCGTATTCTGGATTGACCCTCAACAAGGTGAATAACAAGCGGGCAAGTGACATCTGAGTCTTTGCAGACAGCACGTTGGATGGAAAGCAGACCTTGACGAAATGATCGTACAAATCGCCCACCATATCCGCCAGGGTTCGGTCACCTGAAAGCCAGATGCTGCTCAGACCGTCAAGGACCTCGAGGCATGTGGTTTGGGCAACTTCGCAGTACTGATATTCCGGATTGCCGACTATTCTTCCGAGCCTCTCCACGATGGCCAGAGCTACTTCTCCATCGACAAGAAGATCTGATCTGACAATTTCCATCAGCAGGCGTTGGCATGCAAGCAGCTCATCATCAGGCAATGCTAAGAGTTCATTCATCCACGGAGCAGGCAATAGGCCGAGCTGACTTTTGTCGTGATGAATGAGCCTCAGGAGCGTCAATCGTAGTCTCGTATCAATGCTGAATACTTGAGGACTCGAGCACAGTTGGACATTTTGCCTCGGGAGGACGAACGCGGCGCTAGACGTCGACACCGCTTGACTGTCATAGGAGTCGAAGTCGTCGTCAATGTCCATAGTGTCTGTAGGGCCACCTGAGCGCTGACTTGGCTGCCGCTGCTCTATGCGTTCAGAGAGCTTGGAGAGAAGGCTGAGGGTAGCATAATTCTCCGCACTCATTTGGCTCAGGGTCGCTGTGCCGATGTCGGGTATGCAAGGCCGCAACTCCTTCAAAGTCAAGTCAATGAAAGCTGCAGGCTCGACGGAATCCAAAGCGGCCGAAAGGCCATCCTCGGCTAGTTCCATCAGAAGTGCTTCTATGGAAGCAGATTGAGACGAGTTGAGGTCGCCGAGAAAAGGAACCAGCAATGCTCCCGCGATGCATGCAGACATGAGGCTTTGAAAACGATTGAACGTGATCTGGGTTCCCCCATTGCTGGCTTTCTTGGTCCACGACAGACACACCTCTTTCAGCTCTTCGAGTCTGGGATACAGAAGCTCCAGGACGAGCTTCTTCAATGTGAGAAAGCTTGTAGCGTCTGCCGCGAGGGGAAGGGCTTCTTTAGCCAAGGAGTAACAGCACTCGCTGGGGATGATGGTACCAGTCTCATGCCCTAGCAGAAGCAGGAATTCATTGAAATCTCCAATCTCTCTCTGCGATATCCACGTCTCACTCAAAGACCCGCCAAATGTAGCGTCATGACGAGTTGAGGGGATGGGCTGGGCACCGCAGCAGAGCCGCAGAATGTTCACGAGGTCAATGGGACTCACATGAGCGGACTGGAACGATGCATATGACGGTTCGCCTGGGGTTCAGATCCAAGATTAGCATTGATCACTCTGCCTTCTGGCTGACAGGACTTACTCGGGTTCCACCGCGAGAAAAGCCATCTGATGATGTGACTTGATGTGCTCTGACTGGTGCTGGGCAGCCGAGAGTTGCGAACATGGAACAAGTGTGTCATGAGCGCGAGTGACGTGTCGCATAAGATGCCAGGTCCATTGACATCTGCAGTCGTAATCATGTTGTTGACATCGTCCGAAATATCGTGATACGGCAGAATGTCAGTCTCGATGATGCTGTGCAGGACAAGGCAAGCGGCACGGCTTGTCGCTGGAAGGCTGACTGAACGGGCAGCCAAATGCCATATTTGCCTCCATACGTCCAGCTGCAGTCGGCACTCCTTGGACCACAACGCGCAGCTGTGTAGAGAGGGGGTCAGTAGTGAAAGGCACAATTGGGGGGAGGGGGTTCGCATCTCACCTAGAGCAGGCAATCAGGGCCCAAGATGCTGTAGTTGTGTCATTGTCTCCAACAAAGCTGACGAGGTCTCCAAGAAGTTCACAGATCTCCGCGTGACTGACAGTACTTGTTGCAAGCATGAAAGGCACCAATTGCAAGGCAGTCCGAACCGTCCCCTCGTGTTTCGATTTCAGCTTGACCCTGAGGGGGTTCAAATCTTGATGGAGCCGTCTCCTTTTCCTTGGCTGCTCGCCATTTTGAGCGTCCGCATCCGTCGTCTCCTTCTTAGGACGCAACAGCATGGCCTCTAGAAAGGCAAGGTTCTGGAGGACAGCCCAGTGCGCCTCTCCTTCGGCATTGTGAGGACGTAGTCCAAACAAACCCAGATGCATGATGTGTTCTCGTGAAGATGATGAGGCGAAGGTCAGATCAGTAAGCTTTAGTCGAAATGCCTCGCTTCTCTTGGAGTACTCTTGCCAGAGAGGCTCAGCCAGGTTAGCTACGCCTTCACGTACATTCACGTCCCACAGATTGATGGCGAGATGCTCCAGATGTAAATGCATGAGAAAGATACTCCTCGAAATCTCGTTCCTCAGAGCCTTGATGAGTTCATCCTGTGAGACCTTTTCAGCACGCCACCAGTATCCCATATGCGGTAGTGTATGTTCAGCCAAGGCGACTGCATTGTCCAGATCATCTGCTTCGGTGGCTCGAAAGACGGTATTGATGATGGAAAAGCATAGTGTCGGCGTAGATCCTAGGTTGAGATGCTTTGTACCAAGGACCCCCAGGGCGAGATCGGTAATGTCCTTTGCCGACTGGTCCTTTGCCGCCAACCGAAGAAGAGGGGCATTTGGTGCTGATATCAAGTGATAGAGTCCCTCGAGCGCATCCTTCAGAGGTTCGCCGTCTCCCTGTCCGGTGTGGCGCTGTGCTTGCAGAGACGAGTTTGCCCGGGGTAGGGATCTTAAAGAAGAGGCAGTCGGCGCAGGAGAAGCCCTCGCGAGATGAGGCAACGTAGCTGTATCTTCTTCGCTGGGGAGAATATGGTAAGCAACTCTGAGAAAGAAATCAACGCAAACCTGCCACGGTCCCGCGTCCTTTCTGGCCAGGACCTCAGCATGGGCCTGGCGGGACACGATCTCCGTCAATGCTTTGACATAATCCCGTAATAGCGGCTGGATGAACTCATCGTCAGGGCCGAACAAGACTTGGGTGATGTGATCCACGATGGCAAGCACCGTCTTCCGCCCTATCTTGGAGGCCGACCGGAGGGCTGCCAGCCTGACAGCGGCTGCACATTTCTCCAAACGCTGCTCGGGAGCCTTGCCTTTTGGCTGCGCCGTCGATTGTGGTTGTGGCTGTGGCTGTGGTGTCGCCTTTGCCTTGGCCTTTGATTTGGCCTTTGGCTTTGGCGGGTCGTAAAGGTTTGATTTGTCCAAAAGGACAAAGCTGAAGATGGCCTCGAAGATTTCATGCCAGCTTTTGTCTCCTAATTCCGAGCTGAGCGATGTTAGAGCCATAAGGTGGCCATGACGCACACGGGGGGGTTGGAACGAGGCATACAGATTCGGGGAGTTGCCCGTAGGCTTTAAGAGCAGTAACAAGTCTATCAAAGGGCTGTTAGTCTTGACTTGCAATCAAATGGAGCTTTTCTGAATCTTCCTTTACCTCCGAGAGCGCTTTCGCGGTTCTTGACACCGCCCGTCCTGACCCGGCCTGCAGTCGTCTGGTGGTTAGTATCATAACCGTTTTTATAAGAGGACAAGAGACGAAAGACGCACTCGCCAAGAGCAAGACGCTTGAGCCATGAGAGGCCATGTGTTTTCCTTTTTTTTTTTTTCTTTTCTCTCTCTTTTGCTTTGGTATGGAAAGAGAGACGAGTCGTCAAGCCTATAGTCTATGATGCGGCGATGCCGTCTGATTGATGCGCGCTGGATTTGAACAAGGCACTCGTAGGCGCTGTTTGGCCTCTTGAGGCAGTCGCGTTGTCGCGATAGCAGTGATCTTATGTGCGGGTATGTTGAAACAGGTAGGTAGAGGTACCGCACGCTATTAGCCAAGCTACACACAAGTACATGTATAGATGGTTGTCTAAGATGAATGTCTAGACCAGTGCAGGCATCATCTCTGCGCATAAAAAGGACGAGAAAAGAATGAAAGATACGATACGAAGAAAAGAAAGGAAAAATCCAACTTTGCAGTGCTCAAACGACGGCAGCAATTCACCTTGTCTGCCTCCAGGCCGTTGCCTAGAAACAGGTGCGTTTCAAGCTGAACTGAGCCGCGAACTGCCTGTGCCTTTAGTGCAAGGTACCGGCAATATCCTCACCGCCTTCCCGAAGCACACCCCAGACGAGGCTGGCAGAATCGCCAAAATATCCAGAGAGCTCCAGCAGTCCACCAACACGTCGCTTTCTCACGGCTGGCACCGACTTGCGCGTCTGGCGTTTCCCGGGCGTGTTGATCACCGCGACAGTCTCCAATTCCAACATGCAATAGCTGCCGACCGCCAAGATGGCCGAGATCACGACACTAGACGCCCTGCAGGCCCTGCACCGCGAGCTGTTGACGCTGAGCAGCGGTGGGGGAAGCGACTCCGACAACCTGAGCAACGATCTGCTATTCGAAATCTTTGAGAAGGAGCTGGCGGCGATATGGGAGCGTCCCAAGAAGAGCGACAAGAGCCGTGCCACGGTCAAGACCGGTATGAAGCACAACTGCGCACTTGATGGACCGCGACGGGGAACGACAACAGCTCACAGCTTCTAGGCAAGGTCTCTGTTGACGGCAGCCAGTACTCGCTCAACGACAAGTTCCAGCAGGATGTATTTGCGCTATCTGACGAAATAGACCTCGACGAGGTGGAGGCCGTCCGCTATCTCCTCGATTCCCAAGACGACGTCTCTGTCATGGGCCGATCGCTTCTCGAGTGCGCCGTGATCCGCTTCCATCAGCAGCGGAAGTACGTTCTCGACTCGTTCAGGCTGTTTCTGGAGCTGAACAACATGGACTACGACGGAGAAGAACCGAGCGCGTTGGAGACGATCAAAGCCTATGTTGACACCCGCCTGCTCCAGAAAACTTCCTCCGACGCATCAAAGCGACTTGCGACGCGATGCCTACGCGCGATGGGGGAAATCAAGACTTGGCTGCAGCGGCTGGGAGAGAAACTGACGGCGGCGCAGACTCTGGGGACTGTTCCCACGGATGAGCTTCCAGAGGAGCTGGAGACTGTCGAGTTCTCGCGCGTCAGCCTGATTCAGCAGCACGAAGCTCTGGGTGTCATCCTGTGCGAGTGCGTGGACAAGGGGCAGGCCGAAACGGCAGACTTTCTGGAGTTCATTTCTGTCCTGAAGAGATGGGATAAATACGACACATTGCTTGGTCAGTGCTTCGCCGATGAACTGCAGATGGGTTGAGCTAACATGACCCTGCTCTCAATAACAGTCCACCTCGTTCCGGCAATCGGCGCATACATGTCGGTCTTTGCATCGTCCGAAGGCGGCTACGACTTGAGGCAAGGCAGAGAGCTTAACAGCAAAATCTTCCCTCCCGCAGACGACTCGACCTGGCCACTTCCGTTCTTACACGCCACCGTTCGTGCTTGGTGGCTTGCAGAGTACAGTGGGTGGTATCTGGACGATCCTCCTGAATCTGCGATTCCGCCAGGCACCGACCTTGACCGAGGTATGGGCCTCCTAAATTACTAGTTTTGCGCTTCGAGTGAGCTGACTTGACCACAGAGGATCGCCAGAGGTCCAAGCAATTCATAGACTCCTTGAAAGATGGCGCGTTCGATTTCATGCTCTCGGTGGCTGGAGATGTCCGCTCTCCGGACTGGCACGACTCTGTTCGCGCCGGCATGCGCAAGTGGCTACAACGAAAATCATCACCACTGGTCTCCGAGCGAACCCAGTTTTCCAGCTTCTTTCAGCTGTGCTTAATGTCGCAGTTTGAAGTCTTTGTCGACGCGTTCATCACCAATTTACCCGACGTCCTGCGGAAGCTCCGGGTGGAGGAAGACGAGCAGCGCCAACTCAGCCAAACGCACGAGCAAGACCTAGATCTGGAGAGGTTTCTGTTGATAATCGCATATGCCTATGAGGGCCGACCAGATGCCGCTGCAAACTTCTGGCAAGACCCAGACAGCAACCTCGCTGGGTTCATGCATTGGGCCTCTCGGAGAGCCTCGACACCTTTGGTTGCGGCATTCTGCGAGATGCTCCAAGCAATTTCCGTAAACGACGAGTGCGCCACAGCTGCGCACGAGTTCCTCCTGGACGAAGGCCATCACTCATCCGGCAAGATGAGAAGGACTCAATCTCTGACCTGGACTCAGATTTTCAAGGAGCTCGACTTCTTCTCGGACAAGATCAGGCAAAAGCCCATTCAAACGCAGTCGGTAAGATTTCGTGGTGGCAAGCTCTCCGCGGATGTTATAGAAACCGAACCCGAGTCGTCTATGATGTTGGAGTGCTACTTGCGTCTCATAACCAAGTTGGCGAGCGAGAGCGAGACTACGAGACACTTTTTACTGCTAAACTCTGGTTACAACCTGGTCGACATGCTGTACGAGCTGGCCAGCAGCCCCATTCCTTCTCAGCTACGCGGTTGCGTCTTTCTCGCACTGAGAGCTCTGATAAGCCGCAAGAGTCTTCAGGAGAATCACGCAATGTGGAGATGTCTGGAGAACTGGATCTCAGGCGGCTACGTCGGTGCTGCCACGGGCACGCTTCGACCGCCACAGCCGGCACCTCTAGTGTCAATGGACCGCATCTTTGATGAGATGAGCAACGGCTTTGAGGACCCTGAGTCCTTCATCAAGCTCTTACTTGAGCTGGTCACCCCAGCAAGCGATGCCAGTCCTCTGAACGACGGTCTGCCATTCCCGGAAAACCTCGGTGCCAGCTCTCGAGCGCCTGGCATCGAAGTCTACGTCGACTTTGTCATTGGCCTTGTCTTCTCGTCAAAGATTCAGGAGCTGCAAGATGTTCATCAAATAAGGGTCCTCCGGCTTAGTTGCTTGGAGTTTATCCTTGCTTGCCTCACCACTTTCAACGAGGATCTATTGGTGTTGGCGAACGAGACGAACATTGCCATCGATTCCCTCGTCTCGACAACGGATTTGGCGACATACGTCAGAATGCATCCCTTTGCACGCGTCATGGAGTGGATGTTTAACGACAGAGTGATGTCGGCCCTCTTCAACACCATTCACCAGAAGTCTATCGATATTGGCAACGCGACTCCGGACTCACCACTCATCTTGGGCGTGCTGCGTGCGGTAGAGGTCATCACAAAAGTCCTTGATCTTGAAACGACCTATCTTGACCTCGTGCGTCCGCTCATCAAGAGCCAAGCCGGCCCGCGAAGACACCCCGTAGCGAATGCTGCCTATGCCTCGTTCCAAGATGGGTTGGTGACGAGACTGAACCTGGTGGTGGACCTCGGAAAATACTGCGGCGTAGGTCACCCTGACCTGACTTTGGCCTGCCTCAAGCTGTTGGAGAAGATGGCTTCGTCATCCAAGATCACGGCTGCCTGGTCGGGGACGAATCGACATGCCCATCGAAACAAGGCGATTGTTGCTATGGAAGCGAATGGAGAGCACGAGGGCATATCACGAGCATTCATCGCCGAGGTGATGGCGCCCCTTGAGCCAGCAAGCGGAGCAGACTCCCCCCTCTACACTACCAAGGTTTACATCTTGGACTTTCTATATCAATGTCTTCGGACGACGCCAAAGGAGCCCACCATCGCGCATTTGCTGCTGGGATTCAAGTGCGGGCTGGATTCGCTTTCGATTGAAGTCAATAGCGCGTTTGCCTCTCGCACGTCATTATTTCACACTGTCCTGGGGCTTTTGCTAGAGTCTCCCTCCAGCGATGCTGTTGGCATAAGACAGTGGTTAATTGGCATCAAGTCCCGTGTGATGCGCATATTACACATTCTTTGGAGCTCGCCGCTGTCATCAGCAATCGTTGTTCGAGAGCTTCGCGAGAACGAGCTTCTATTCCACCTTCTTACCCGCGAAACAGTTATCCATCCCGACCTCTCCTGGGAAGGCCAAAACGTCGGAAACGCGCAGTTCCCGATGACCGATGGAGCGGTCACGCTAATTGACTTCCTGACGCTTCGGAGTATGACTTTGGAATACATCGCCATGGAGCTCTGCAAGATAGCTCAGGGGCGTATGCCTGGTGTCAAGAGACGAATCTTTGATGCCCTCAACGGCCAAATTGTCCTAGAGGGCAATGAAACGATTCAAACCCCGACCGTCTTTGACCTGTTCGATTTCCTTCTGCCGGACGGATTCTGGGAGATCCCGCCGCCATCGATCCAGTTCTACAAGGATCTGGATCTCTCTGCCTGTCTAGAGAAGGACGATGATGGCAACCCGATCTACAACCTTGACCGCGTGAGGGAGATTCTCCTTTTGAAGAGAGGAGAAGCGCAACAGAGCGCGGTCATTGCGGCTAATGACATGGCACTTATCGAGAGGGAAGAGGTGCTGATTCTGGAGTACCTTGTGTCCTGCGACAGACAAAAGCAGATTTCGGCACAGTGTCTCCGGGTTCTGCGGTCCTGGATCAAGGTGCTGCTGGTCATGGTTGAATCTTGTGACTACAGAGGCGCGGCGCAGACGTCATTCTTCCTTCAAGCGTTGCAGGCCATTTTGCCAAGCCTGGAAATGTTCGCCTCAGAACGTCCGGATGAAGCCCTGGAGCTGGCCAAGCTGGCAAGGGTCCTGCTCTTTAAGATGGACCTGTCGCCTTTGCCCACTGAAGACAAGAGCAGTAGCGCCATTGGCAACCTGGTCAGCGACAAGCTGTACCAGCTCTTCCAGATATGCCTCCAGGCCATTGGCAAGTGGGCAGGCTCTCCCGAGTTGAGAGCTGTTTACTATGAAATCTGCTATCGGTATCTGACTGGCATGTCTGAAGAACAAGGACCACTGACGGCTAGCCGCCCGAAGACGTTCAAGACAGTACAGGTATACGGAGAGCGACTGCTCAACGTCGTTTGCGATGATGCCTACTGCGGAGAGCCCGCGTGCCAAACGGCGGCCCTCATCTTCCTGGGGGCGTTGGTTCACATGGACAGCCAACAGCGAGAGAGCTATATTGTTGAGACGCTTAACAAGCTGAACTTTATCGGCATTCTCATTGACTCTTTACGGAACATTATGAAGGAATGGCATGATATCTTTGCATCCAGTACGTGCTCCCCCCCCTCCACTTCCCTCCTCTCCTTTCAACCCTCTTCACTCGAAAGCCCGCAGCAAACCTCGTGTGCTAACAGCAAATGCCTCTCTAGACAACACCGACCAGAAAAACTTCCAAAACGCCCGCCTCGCCATCATCCTCCAGCTGGCCCAGTCCCGCATCGGCGCCAAGTACATCCTCCACGCCAACCTGTTCCGCACCCTGGAACACTCCGGCCTCTTTGCCGCGGACCCCGAGCTGCAGACCAACCCGGCGAACCCTCGAGCCCTGGAGCAGCATTACGACCTGCTCGCACGCGTCGTGCGCATCATTGGCGCCGCCATTCTGAGCCGCGGCAACAACAACGTGGCCCAGGGACGCAAGTTCCTGACGGATCACCGCATGCTCGTGAGCCATGCCTTGAAGCGCAGCGCCGGCATCGGCGCAGGCAAGGAGGACCAGCGCCTGGAGGAGCGCATCGAAGATCTTGCTGATGCGCTGGTGGTTGTTATTGCTGCCACGAGCTTCCTGGATGTAAGTTTTACATGAATAACCGCCCTTGCTCACACTTTGAATCCCACGTCATTGAATAACAATGCTAATTATCTTCTCTTCTGCCCGTCACCAGTTTGAAAATGACATTTTACCTGAGCCTAAACAGCATGACCAGCCGCTGTTCCATTGAGCGTACTGGGGAAAGGGAGGGATGCACAATGATGGGGTTTATTTGGTTTCTTTATCTCAAGGTTCATGCTTCGTTTTCTTTTTCTGCAAGGTTCTAGAATATGTAAAGGCATATTAATGGTAAAGGGTGCTTTGCTCTGCTAAGTCGGTTGCTCTTGTTCATTTGAAAGTGGGTATGACTGGAAGAAAGTAGAGACAGAAAGAGAAAGAAGAGATGAGAGAATGTAATGCCAGAGAATGTCGGCAATGAAGATGATTTGCATGAGTATGACCTACACCAGACAAAGATCCACCTTACAGAATAGTGAAGTTGACAAAGCGAGCATGAGGGAAGAGTTAGAATTTCGACTTTTTCATTTGCTTCCTTTGTTCCTTTTCTAATGGGGTATGTGGTTATCGTGACGCTATATATATATACGGATGACAAGGCAATATGCAATCCTGAGCGCGCGTCATGCTCGTGCCATTTTGGATGGCGGTAATAAAAAGTCTAGCCGTAACTCCTCCGTCACCAGTCCGGGGAAACAAAAAAGAAGAAGCAAACCCCAGATCCCGTGGGTATACTTTGCTGACGTCTGTGGTCGTCGTAATGCCAACAACATATGAAAATTGCGGCGTTTGGCCGGATGGGAAAAAACGGTCTCGTTCCGTTTGTTCATGAAGAATGGGAGGATGAAGAGAAGAAAAAAAATCATAATGTAGCGCCGCTCAAGGAGGTAGGATGAAAGGTTGAAGTAGATTTCAGTCGAGATCTTGGGCCTTCCGCTTTCCTTGCCGTGTTCTCGTCATCAACTTGAGTTCCAGCGGCCAGTAACCTTTCGTCTTTGACGAGTACGTCGCGCGCGGTTTCATGTCGATCTTGGTTCTGCACATGGGGCATTTGCCTCTAGTAGGTTCCATGCTGAGCGAGGAGTGGAGGCACTGGGCACAAAAGAGATGTCCTGGGCGTTGTGTAAGCGATCCTGGCAACGTATGTAGGAGAAGGGTAGGCAAAGAAAGGACATGACTTACCACAATGTGTGAGGGTCAGTCCCGTCACGTCGTCCATGCAGATAACGCATTGGAACGCAGACAGCTTGACTCTCTTGTCCACCTCGGGCTTCTTGAGCTCTTCAGGAACGTCGGTGGCCTCGGTCAAATCTATTGTGGTGTACTCCTCGACTTTAGAATTGGCGGAGGCAGGCCTCGAAGGGCTGGAGCCGAACAAGCTGTCGATATCGTCAAACTCATCATCGATCAAAGCTGTCTGCGCGGAAGGGGGCGGCGCTGCGGAAGGCGAAATCCGCCGCCGTTTGCGCGAGGGTGCGGCAGCAGCCGACGAGCCGTGAGTTTCGGGAGCGACTCGGCTGCGCAGCCGGCCAGATGTCGTTGGCATGGTGTCAAAAGTGGAGGACTCAGACGCGCCTGGAATGTTCGTGAACGGCAGTGGAAAGCCTGGGTAGCCGTCAAGGTCGCAGAAGAGGCTTTCTAGCTCACTGTTGTCGTTCTGAAAACCGAAGCCGCCAGAAGTGTTGAGCGAAGAGAAGGCTTGTTCCGAGCCTGGCGGCAAGGCCGTATTTGCAACAGAGCTAATCCGACTGGGTCTCGTGGCGCTGTTTTGAGGCACCGAAGTCGCGGCAGTGGCAGCGGCAGTCGAGGGTGAGGGCGCTGCAAGGAACGTTGTTGTCGAGCTCGGGGCAGAGGCTGGAGAGGGCGCAGGGAAGCGACCGAATGGGGACTGCGGCAGCTGCGAGGGTGATTGAAGCGACGGCTGCGGTGGCGTGAATGACCCAAACGTGGCTTCGCTCAAGAGACGGTCCAAGGCGCTGAGAGCACGGTTTCGGGCAGACAGACTGAAGGTGTTGCGGGCAGCGTCATCCTGCGGCCATCCGTTGGACTGGCTGGCGTAGGCAGACCACGGGTTCGTCGACTGCGGGCCGTAGACAGGGCGACGACCGAAGGGCGAGTTGAGCGGCGAGAAGGGGTCGGGCTGCAGCGTGGAGAGGCCGGAGGGATTGACGAATGCGCTGCTGCTGAAGCCGATGCCGATGCCGCTGTTGTTGCAGGTGCTGTTGCTGGTGCTGTTGCTGGTGCTGCCGCCGGTGATGCTGTCGAGGCCAGGCTGCTGCGAGGGAAAGGCTGAGGCTGGAGCCGAGGCTGAAGCCAGTGTTGAAGGGGAGAAAACAGGGTGGCGCTGCCGTCGCGGAGTCGGATATCGGATAAGTGGCGAAAAGTGAGGCAGCGGCGGCAGAATCGGGTGGGCGGTGGCGGGCGATGGGGTTAGTAATGATGGGGATGACGGGGCAGCGACAGCCACAGAGGCAGAGGCAGAGGCAGAGGCAGAGGCAGCAGATGCGGACGAGGGTCGAGGAGACTGGAATGACAAAGACGGAGCGTAGTGCTGCTGCTGCTGCTGCTGCTGCTGCTGCTGCTGCTGCTGCTGCTGCTGCTGTCGTTGTTGCTGTCGTTGTTGTTGTTGTTGTTGTTGTTGGTGGTGTTGTTGTTGCTGCTGCGACGCAGCGAGGCCAGGCGTTGGGTTCTGAGCAGACGCCGTCACGGCCGCTGGGAACAACGACGCAGCAGACAGCGCAGGAGGCCGAAATGGGCGGCGAAAGGACGTCCGCTGCGATACCGGCAGCGGCAGCGGGAGCGGCGGCGACGACGATGAAGGCGCTGGCGGTCGTGATGCTGCTGCCGACGTTGGTGACGGGAGACTCCAGGCAGGATACTGCTGCGTCCTCTCGAGATCGACGGCGAAGCCAGAGCCGGATCCAGACCGCGAAGCCATTGAGCGAGATGGCCAGATGGGACAAGGAAAGGCGATGGAAAAGAGGAAAAGGAGAAAATGAAGAGAGGAGAGGGAGAGGAGAATTGAAACGATGCCCTAGAAACGCTCAGGCCCAGCGCGAGGCCGGCTGGCAGACAGCTGGCGGGATGCGGATGCTGATTATAAGCGAATCTCCAGGTGCTCATAGGGCCTCATCGTCCCTGCATCGTGACATGTCATGATCTTCAAATGTCCCAGACAACTCAGAAATCGGATGGCCGTAAGTATGCTGGAGATGAGAGAGAACCCACGCGGCCAACAACGTCTACCTACAGTCATGGATTGTCGGGCTGATCAGCGACGGGAGTCGGTCAAAGAACGTGAAGGAGACAGGGCAAAAAGAAACACGGCAAAAAAATAAAACAAAAAACACAGGGCAAATCTCGTGCTCAAGGTGTGGTAATACAGGCGTAATGTCGACCATGGGTTCGCCGACCATGGCGGTTGCAGCCGCACCGAGTCAGAGCGCGAGCCGCCGAGCTAGTGGAAATGAGAGCGAAATCAGGGAACGAGAGGATATATCATTACTAGATGCTGCTGCTGCTGCTACCTGGGTCTCGGCATGCGCTGTGGCTGGCAGCAAACATTGGATGGATGGCTGCATGTCTCAGCGCGCGTCTGGTTTTTTTGTGGTTGCTCGTATGTATTGCCGGGCCTCGATTGGCTCTTTTTTTGCGGGCAGGCAGACATACCTAGTACATACATGCATTGAAAGTACTAGGTAGGTATGTGCGAGGAGAGAGCAAGGGGAAGATGATGACTGTAGGTAGTATGTGAATGAGCAGGCGAGGGGGCTGATAAGAAGTTGAAGTCGATGAGGGCGAGTTAGATGACACTGAAGGAAGGATTCTATATGGCCAAAAGGTCTCGGTTATAAGGTACCTAGTAGTACCTTACTGTGATGGTACTCTCATGGATACCTTTGAAATGAGAGCAAAAGCAATCCTTCGTACCTTCTTCTCTGTATTCCTACCTATTAAGGTAATCAATCAGGCCAAAACTTACGGCCAGTTCTGACACGGGCAGGTGCAATGCTCAGCATCGCCCACTTCCACCGCCTGCCCAGATGAGCCATCACTAACAACTCGATACTTTCCAACTTCACGCCTCTTTTCTACTCTCTCTCTCTCTCTCTCTCTCTCTTTTCAACCTCAAACCTGCACTCTTCACCTCTCAACCAGCTCCTCATTGCCTCACCACTGCCCCTCAAACTCGTCTTCGTCCTCATACTCGCGCCAATTCACCGATTCACCGCCCGTCATCTGTCGCCAACCGACACTCGACATCTGCCCACCGGCGGCGCCGCAGCATCGGCGATGGATATTGTGACAAGTTAGGGAGCCTCATTACTCGCACAAGCGCAGTCAACGTGCAGCATCCGCGAGACCGACACACGCACAACCGCCGCCTCTCTGATTCGCCTGTGTTGCTCGTCCTACTGCGGCTGATTCATCACAGCATGCAGCCACGACTCCATTGTGCTGCGTCTTGCTTTCATTCTCTCAGTGGCTACTCTGCTATGGGTGTCTTTAAGAGCCTCCACTCTCAAGATTGACTGCTCTGCTCTGCTCTCCATCCCGTCCTCCTCCGCCGTTCTCTTCCACCATACGAAGAGATGGGCGACGTTCTCCCGTGTTATTCAGCGGTGATGGCCTGTCGCTGACAACAAAGAATGCCCTGATATAAATGGGCTTGGAGGAATCCATATCAAAGACACCCTTGCACAAAGCATGCCTGCCTCTACTGACCAGCCAAGAGCCAACAACACAGTTGAAACCCTTCTTGTTGCTCTCCTTGTGAGTACGCAATGTCAACCACGCTCTGCCAGAGTACGTTGCAGGCTCTACAGCATATTGACAAGCTGCGCGGGTACGTCAATTACGACTCCTGGAGACTCCTCATCATGGCCAATGCCCGCGCCCTCAAACTCGCCTCCCACCTCGACGGCTCTGCACAAAGAAGCTCGCTTAGGCCTCGCGCAAAGGAAGCTCATGCGACCGCCGAGGCGTGCGCCCGCGTGCTCATCTTGGGCTCGATTGCGCCAGACCTGCTGCTGGTGCTGCTGGAGCGCGGGCTGCAGGACAACACCTCTGCCGCCGATCTGATGATGTGGCTGCATGCCACGGCCAGTCCACGCGAGGCGACCGAAGAGGCCCACAATGACCTGGCAAAGCTCATGCGCATCGACCGCAAGGACTTTCCATCGATGGAGGCCTACACCAAGGAGTCGCTGAACCTGTGGGCTCGCATCAGTGACTGCTGGCCGAACAGCGCCATGGTCATCGCTGCAATGTCCATCCTTGAGGGCATGAGGCCGTATAATGAGAACGCGTACTTGGGCTGGAAGCACTTTGTAATTGAAAAGAAGGGCATGTTTTCTCAGCAAAACCTGCTTGACCTTGCCGTGGCATTGAGGGACCGCCAGGAGGACCAACATACCTCGTCTTCCGTTCATGTGATGGACATGATATCCGAGGAAGAGGAGAAATCCGATGGCAGCCAATCAACCACTGAAGGATAAGCGTGCCACATGTATTCCTTGGTTGGTGCCAGCTCAGTAAGGTGGCATGGTGTCGGAACAGTTATAGAAGCAGCCGCATGGTAAGTGTGTCTTTGATCTGCATCACTCAAGGACAATAATCAACAATAATCATCATGGTGGCACGATGGTGACTTGGGTCAACACAGAACAAACTCGTGCGGATTAGTATTGCGGAAAGATTAAGAAAAGAATCGCAACCAAGCTCGAGAATCACGTCTTATCCCCCGCCCACCTCGTATACTCCCCTTTTCAAGGCTCTGCCCCGAGCAACCTCAAACCCGTGCTCCAGGACAGTGAGGCCGAAGCCGTTGCTCAATATCCAGCAAGCTTTCCATCATCCTATCCTTGACCGCCCTGATTCGGCTTGCCACGTCCTCCGCGGTGACCTGTCGCTGGCAGACGCGAGGCTCAAGTTCGACCTCCGGCGTGTCGAAGCCCCAGTTCACCAGCGAATCAAACTGGATTCTGAATGTCGACTCCGAAAGGGATGATTCTGCTTGTGGCGAAGCTGACTTGGATGGAGGCATAGTCGTCTGTGTTGACGCAGGCTCTTGCTGTTGCTCTGATACTGGCTCTGACGAATATCTCGATCCTGGTTCTTGTTCTTCATTTGATTCGCCTGCGACTTGTGGTCCCTCGAGTTTCGGTTCGTCCGCGTGCACTGCCACCGTTTTGACTCCTTGCCATGCCGTTGTTCTTCTCATCAGTGCCGCTTCAATGTTGGCATCTTCCACCTCTGTTCCCACTTGTGTCGCTTCTTCTTCTTCTTCTTCTGCTTCTTCCACATGTTCATCCAAGTCTGCCTCTCTTTCCACGTCCACGTCATCCCCAGCCTGCGAGTCCGCAAACAAGACCAGTTCCAGCTCCGAGTCATCAGGCATCTGATCCAGCGTGCCATCTTCAGAAAGAGCGGAAACGCTCCATAGAGAAGCCCGGCGTTCCAGCTCTCTACGCGAACTCCGCGCAGTATCCAGATTCGGCGGCGCAGACCTGCGACCGCTCCCATTGGGCAGATTACCCGTCACAGCGTTGGCGTACGAGAGAATCTTGGTGGACGTCTCGGAGTGGCATCTTCGCGCGCGGTATCTGTTTTCCCAGTCCAGGAGTCCTTCGAGCCAGGTCGAGTTGAGGTCGGTGTGAGGTTCGAGTGACGTTTGGCGGGTACTGGTTATGCTGCTGATGGGGAGCGAGCTGTCCGTGTCGGTGATGGTGAGGTTCTCGAGGTTACTATAGACTGTTTCCAAGAGCTCTTTGTAGTCGTCTGGCAGCTCTCCAGGTTCTCCATCCGAATTCTCGCAGTGGGAAATCAGCGAGCGAGGTATATCGTCATGGCGAGCTTGCTCCAGCTCGATATCCTCCTCTGCAACAACCGGCGCAATGCCTCCCCCAACGAGCCTCTTCTTGCACTGGACAAAGGTCCACTCATCGCCATCACCGTCATCAACATCCTCCCGCTTCCTCTTCTTGCCCCTGGAGAGGAATAGATCCATGGTCCTCTGCGCCACGGACAGCGACGACGTCCTGCGCTTGGATTTCCTCCTGCGTGAGCGCGAGGCTTTCGAACGAGATCTCGTGGTTGCTGGGTCGCAGTCTGGGCGGGCGTGGAAGATGCCGGAGAGCATGCGGCGGGACTTTTTGATGAGGTGCATGTTTCGGGGGAAGAGAGCGGACATGCTGGATGCCTCGATTTTATCGTCAAGCGATTAAGCTGAGAGGAGGAGTGGGAGGAGGAGGCGATGGGATATGTTTGCTCAACTGCATGGACGGGCTGCCTTGAGATGCAGAGGTTTATATAGGATGCATATATATATAAGACCAGCACAAAAGCTAAAGAGAAACTTTCTCCCTTTTCATTCATCCTTTTTCAACCGCTTTCGTGATGCATTTACACCTGCGCCTGAGCCAACTTCTCAAGAGTCTGAGCGATCCATTATCATTATCGCCCTGAATGAATGAAGCAAACAAACTGCGATGCATAGACCCGATGAAAGAAGAAGAGAAAAAAAACCGACTTGAATTAACGCCCCTTCTCACAAAATGCACTTTTCAGCAGCAGCGCAACAAAGGAAGAAAAACGCTATTCCTCGCAAGAGACGAGTTTCAAGTCTTTATTGCGTCGATGGACTGCATGCCACCAATGCCTTTAGCTTTTTTTTTTTTTCTTTCTCTTGCCTCCTTGATTCTTGCCCTCGTTCCCGGATGCAGAGAGTCTCTATTCTGGATATCGATAATTTGTATAAGACTATTTGATTCGCTTGTTTTGTGGACATCCGTCCGTCTTGTCCTATTTTCTTCGTTTTATTCGAAAGAAGCTCCTTCTTCCTTTGTGACTGTGTTTGCTTTGTTTCTATGCATCTTCTTCGTCTCTTCTTACCACCTTATAACTACCAAGGTATCTAAACCCCTTAATTTCTTCATTGCAGCGTTTTTCAAACCTTCTATGCAAGTGTCTTTCTTTGTTCCTGAAACGACACAAGGCTTCCACCCGGAACAACAACCATTTCGTTCACGCATTTTATTTCAAACACTTGGGTTCACTTCTCTAATATAGGCAGACATTTCTCGACGTCTTTCTCCCCCCCAACTGTCACACCCGTTGCTGAGGGACAAAAGAAAAAAACAGGCTTCACCCAACCTCCTCGGCACAAGCAACACCTCACTAGCCAAATCTCACCACTACCCATGATACTCATAAGTCTCCCAGCCAGCCAAAGTCAAGTCACACTGCGCAATCCGAAACAGTCACAGCATCAGAAAAGAAAGAAACACAAGAGAGAGATTCATCTGAGCTTCAAAACGTCTTATATTTCATTTCGTGCCACAAAGCACCGATCACGTCGTACCTGACTGTACCCATGTCCGGGCCCCCTTGGTCTCAATCATTCATTCTCATGCGCTCTTCCACCATAACACTGCGGAATTCCGCAAGAAAAAGAAAAAGAAAAAGAAAAGATCATAAGAAAAGGCCTCTAAAGTCCCGATAGAGAGTCGAGCAACATGAAGGAGGAGAAATGTGGCCCAGCAGACCAACAAAGATTAGATACAACTTTTTTTTATCGAAACAAAACATTATGGACCCGTCCTCTCCGTAGATGAAAGGCTTGCATTTCTAAGCACATCGCTCTCTTTCTGTTCTATGTTATCGCCGAAACAACGCCAATAGATGGATAGGGCAGCCTGTTGCTGTCCGGATATCTCATGCATAAACCAAGAAATTGCAAAGATGAAAAAGAGTTGCGAAGGGGTACCCAAGTCAGAAGACGCTCTAGTTGTGCTTGGCCAAACTCTGGAGGTTAACCAGCTCCGCGTAGCGACCGTTCTTTCGCATCAGCTCAGAGTGAGTACCAGCTTCGACGATGCGGCCCTGGTTGAAGACGTAGATGATGTCGGCCTTCTGGATCGTGCTGAGACGGTGAGCCACAGCAATGGTGGTGCGACCCTTGGCGGCCTTGTCCAAGGCAGCTTGCACAACGTGTTCCGACTCGGAATCCAAGGCAGACGTCGCCTCATCGAGCAGCAGGATCTTGGGGCTGCGAATCAGGGCTCGGGCAATGGCAATTCGCTGCTTCTGACCGCCAGACAACAGAGCACCCTTGCTACCGACAATGGTGTTGAAGCCCTCGGGCAGAGACATGATGAAGTCATAGATGTTTGCCTCGCGACAGGCAAATTCAACAGCCTCGTCAGTGACGTTGGGGTCGGAAGATCCAAGCAGAATGTTCTCCTTAATGGTTCCCTGGTAAAGCGTGGGCTCTTGGCTAACGAGAGCGATAAAGGACCGGTAGTCGTTGAGGTTAAGCGAGCTGATTTCCTTGCCATCGACGTAGACGCCGCCGCTGAGGGGATCGTAGAATCGTTCCAAAAGAGCAATCGTCGTACTCTTTCCGCAGCCGGAGGCACCGACAAGGGCAACATACTGTCCGGGCTGAATGGTCAAGTTCAGGCCCCGCAGAACTGGCTGCTCCGGGCGGGTCGGGTAGCGGAAGTGAACGTCGCGGAACTCGATGCTTCCCTCGACTTCAGTGACTGGCATGCCCTCCTCTGACCAGGTGTCAATGGCGGGTTTGCGATCGAACAGGACCTTCAACTCCTTGGCCGCGTGGTGTGCCTTGCCCATGTCAGGGGCAAAGGAGAAGATGGAACCGGCAGACTGGGCGCCAAAGACCACAGCCATGAAGCAGAGGAAGAACTGGAACATGTTGTATTCGCCCTTTCCAATCAGAGTACCACCGTACCAGAAGCCCAGCGCAAAGACCAGGAAGCTAAACGACTGAGAAGCAGCGTACAGCAGGCTGGACTTGAGTACCGACCTCAGGCTGCGTCTTTGCTGCTCAGCGAGCGATTCCTGGTACTGCCTCAAGACATCATGTTCGCGGGTGAGGGCGGCAACGGTCCTGATAGCAGAAATGGCCTCAGAAGCAAAGGTGGCGGATGCGGCATACGCGGCCTTGGAGCGGCGCTGGAAGTGAGCAAGCAGCCAGAAGCGGAAGAAGCCGCATCCCAGCAAGACGGGAATGGTAGCAACACAGACGAGCGAGAGCTTCCATCCGATCGAAATGGACAGGACAATGGCCGTAATCAGGGTCGTGCTCATCATAAGCAAGGTACCGAGCGTGGCGCCACTGAGGCCAGCAACGTGAGTCGTCTCAGTCGAGAGGAACGAGGTCAGAGCACCAGCCGTGTTCTCATCCTTGTCAAAGAAAGCAACATCCTGGCGCAGCATGGCGCGGAAAGCACGGTCGCGAACGCGGTGAACGAGGCGCTCGGAGCAGATGGCGAACAGGATACCCTGGGAGGCAAAAGCGAGGAACTGGACGATACCGAGCATCAGGTACATGGCGCTCCAGAAGTCGGAAGTCTTCTTGACATGGTGCCTGTTCTCGGGAGTGATGGGCTGCGAGAGAGTAACAATCTGCTTGGCGAAAAAGACTGCAGAGGTCGGGTTACCGCCACCGCAAATGGCAGAGAAGACGAGGCCGATAAGCATGAACTTCCACTCGGGGGCGTTGAAAGAGGCAATGACCTTGATGAGAGTCCACAGGCTGTATTCCTTCTCCTCCTCTTGCTTTCGCTTCTGCAGGGCAATACTAGAGGCCGACTTTTGGGTGGCGGTACGGTCAAGCTTGGCGGCGATATCGTCGTCGGGATCGGCTTCGTACTCTTCCTTGTTGGTGGTCTGCTTGCGAATGAGCATCTCCTCCTTTTCGGCGATTTCGTCATCCTCTTCGGTGGTTTCCTGGCTGACAGCAATGTTCTGGGCCGAGACGAGGTTGTAGTAAGCACCCTTCTTCTCGAGCAGCTCATCGTGGGTACCTTGCTCAACAATGCTTCCCTTGGACATGACGACGATGTTGTGGGCATCCTTGATGGTGGACAATCGGTGGGCAATGGTAATGGTGGTTCGACCCTGAGAGGCAGCTTCCAAGGCAGCTTGGACAACACCCTCAGACTTGGTGTCGAGGGCCGACGTGGCTTCGTCCAGCAGCAGAATCTTGGGGTTAGACACGACGGCGCGAGCAATTGCGATACGTTGCTTTTGACCACCAGACAGGAGGAAACCGCGTTCACCAACGTTCGTCTCGTATCCTTCGGGCAGGGCAGAAATGAAGTCGTGAGCGTTGGCCTTGACGGCAGCGGCGATGACAAGCTCGCGCTGCTTCTCCTCGCTGGCGTTTTCGTCCGGGGTGCCGATCAAACCGTAGCGAATGTTGTGGTAGATGGTCGTTCCAAAGAGAGTAGGTTCCTGGCTGACAAGGGCCATCTGCTGACGCAGCCATTTCAAGTTGAGCTTGCTAATGTCGTGGCCGTCCAAGTAGACCTTGCCTCCAACAGGGTCATAGAATCTCTCGACCAGGCCCACAATAGTACTCTTTCCAGATCCAGAAGCACCGACTAAAGCAGTGGTTTTACCAGCAGGGATATCCAGGGTCACGCCGTTCATGACCTTAACCTCAGGTCGAGAGGGGTAGATGTGCTCGACGTTTTCCAAGCGGATGTTGCCCTGGAAGTCACTAAGCTTCTCGCCCTTGTCCTCAGTAGGGTCCAATGGGGAGACTCGATCGATGGTGTTGAAAATCTTGGCGGCTGCGGCGAGTGCGGTGGTAAAGGCCTGGATGTGAGGTGTGACGTTTCCAAGCTGGAAGGCGCCAATCATGATGGACATCATGATGGTCAGAACCTTGGACAAGGGGATGATGCCCTCGACAAGGAACTTGCTGCCCTGCCAGAAAGCCAGGCCGTAGTTCAAGTACAAGATTCCCATCATACCGGCAATCATGACGCCCATGGAGCCCTTGACGCGGGAGCCATATTTCTCGGCCTTCTGAAGATGCACGTCATATTGCTTGGCAAGGCGATCCTGAGTGCCGAAAGCAATGGCGTTTCGGACGGAGCTGAGGACTTCATCAGCCATGCTGCCGCCCAGAGCAAATGCTTCGAGAGAAGCCTTGTTATTCTTGAGCATGACACGGCCGAGGAGACTGGCATTGAGGACCAGGGCGAAGACGGTGCAGGACAGGATAAGGGTCAACTTCCAGTAGTTGATGAAGCCGATGATGAAGGCCGTGAAGAAAGTAGCCAGAGCCGCGAGGGTAAGAGAGACCTTTTCGGAAATACCGTCCTGGATGAGGTTGGTGTCGGCAGTGATGCGGGTGGTGACCTCACCAGCGCCGAT